CTTCTTCTTCTTCTTCTTCTTCTTCTTCTTCTTCTTCTTCTTCTTCTTTAAATAGATCTATGTCAGTTTGATATTGAGGGGTGGGTGTTGGTGGAAAACAATTACTCTAAAATAGGAATTTTGAAGATTTTATAATAATAAATTTCTGAAGACACAGTTAAAGTATTATGGTGAACTTCACCCACCATTCGTTAATTCATTAAGCAAGCAATAATAGCAAAAAAAACTATTTTCTACGCAGGTATAGGATTTTGTAATAATATATTGATTGACCTAGTCTTAGAATGAAAATTGAAATATATTTAAATTCTTTTGTATTCTGAAATACTATTTCTTAGTTCCTAAGGAAAGAGAATTATTTTTTTCAACAGGCAAAGGAAAACGCTGGAAAAATTTATATTTTATCTTAGAGGGCAGTGATGCCCAACTTATTTATTTTGAAAGTGAAAAACGAGCTACAAAACCAAAAGGGTTAATAGATCTCAGTGTATGTTCCGTCTACGTTGTCCATGATAGTCTATTTGGCAGGTAAGACATTGGTTTTTCTTAAAATTGTTGTAGTAATAAAAATTGTGGATATTTTCAGACTGTTTGAAGTATAACCTATTTTAAGAACATAAATTGTCTAAAATTTGATTGATTGATTGATTGATTATAAGGTTTTTTTTCTTAACTTTTGACTAAGCTCTGTGGACAATTCAACTCTGTCAGGCAGGCATCTTTGGAATGGCCTTTCAGTAGGACTAGCTAGCTATTGAAGTAGTTCATAAATTCACTTGAATTCACTTGTTATTCTTTCTTCCTTTTTTAAAATAAAACAGGATGATGATAAGGATAAGAATTCCACCCCTAACACACTCAGAAAATGAAAGACTAGGGTTGGAGCAATAAGACCTTCCAGTCACAATCTTCCCATATTGATTGGAAAAACTATTGTACAAAAGTATCTTTACTAGAGCGAAAGGAACCAGTTAGAAGCAGAAATGTCATTTGATTTTAGAAACATGAGACAAGATCCACTGAAGGAGTCAGGATGGAAATGATATTGTTACTGCCTTCCCAGCTGTCAGCAGTAGAGTGTAGAGAGAAGTGTCATGGGGCAAGATATAGGACCCAGTTGAGGCCTACCAAATCAAACATTTTTGTTCTTGAACATAAGCAATAGGCATAGCTTTTGTCTGTGGACCTGAATACATATTAAACAATTTCATTTTTAAAAATACGAAGGCTGTAAGAAAATCCAGGGTGCTTCAGCTACATATGTTTTGTTTTTATATGAAAAAAGGATCAGACTATGACTGTTAGATATCAAAGAATATTAGTTAAAAGGAGTTTTGTTAAAATATATGTTCTGTAGAAAATATCCTCTTTGTGAAAATAATTCTAACTTCATCTATTTATTGAATAAAGAGTGAACTTCTTCAAAAATAAGGTAGAATAAAGTTGTGTTCTAACAGTTGGAAAATAATAAACACACATGTACCATCACTGTATTATCATTTCTTGCTTCTAGTGTAGAGTTCCTTGTAGAAATTAACTGTAAGTATGACACTCTAAATGCATCTTAGTTATGAATACTTAACTGATTCCAGGTCCAAAACCTGATAGGAAAAGATATGTTTGTGAAAACAGGTAAAAACCTCTCCTCTAAGAAAACAGATCTTTGTTTCTGAAATAGGCTGGGTAGGGTCAACTTTCTTTTGTATGCACCTTTATTGGGAAGTGACCAGGAAAGCAAATCAGCAAAGCGTCTTTCTTTTCATGAGAGTAAAGATATCCTTATCACATAACAGAACAGATGAAATTATGTTGATACCAGTTGCCAGTTATTATAAAGTACAAATATCAAAGCACAAAAAGGCATATGAATCTTTTAACATGCTTTGCACATTTATGCTTGGTGTGAGAGTATAAAGCCTAATATATAGAATTGTGGCATTCAAGTAAAGTCTAATGTGAAAGAAAGCAATAGCTTTCTTTGAAAGGTATTTTTTTTATCTGTATGCATGCTCTGTCTTCTGATAAGGAAATGTTGAAATAACATTGCTTGTGTAGATGTTTGCCTGCATGGTTATGCACTTTTCCCAGATTTTGTTTGTTTCTTCATATTAAACATCGAATTTTTAATAATGCTGTATATTATATAGGAAACATTTTAAGAGCTTAAGTTGGAAGTTGCTTCAGTGACCATTATTCTAATGACCATTGTTGGCAGAGCTGTTACACTTATTTCTCCATAGACTGAGTAATTCACTCTGGCATTTTTAATGTAATTTAAAAGGAAAGCTATTACATTGGATATTAAATTTTTCTTGGGCAATTTTCTGTAAACACTTAAAAAGATTTTTTAACCCACCGAGTCTAATTAATTCTGCCCATATGAAACTGATCATGGCCTCTTCCACATGGGCATAGACAACCTTTTAGTGACCACACTTCTAAAGAAAGGTGACCCTCTTTTCCCTATAACCATCAACTGCTAGTAGCTCCTTAGCTAGGAGTGGGGCTTTGGGAGCCCTTCCTGCTGCATACTGGAATCTTTAACTGGTTTGATTTGTGCAGGTTTTAAGGAGGTAACTACTGTTGCTATGGGTTATGTGCAACCACCATGCCATGTCAAGAGAGCAGCCTTTTACAACACTCCTTCTCCATTATATTTTCCCTGCTCTTCGTGATAATTCCCTAAACCTTGGTAGAGTCTCTGCCGTTGATAACCGGTGTTCTATCTAAGGCTGAGCATGCACTCCATTGCTTCTTCCCAGCACTTTGCTCTTATATGCTTCTGTCTGAATGAATGATGGATGTTGTGTGTGAAAAGCTGTGAGTAATGCTACTGGTTCCAGAAGACACTGTTCTTAAAGCCTTTGGGGGTCAAGTGAAGACTGATCCAAAGTTGGGAAGGCAGCCTTCCTTATGTGAAGACACAGTCAACATTAGGAGTCTAACATGAAAGCTTCATTTTTGAAGGACCTGAGATTCACTTTCCTCTCTCGTCACTCTGGAAATCTTGGATTTTTGGTCTACCATTTCACATGCTACTTTTTTTTGACACGTTGACCTCAGAATCAATAACTTTGAAGGGTTGAAAAGGAAACAATATGGGGAAAGTCAAACTTCCCTTAAAATGAGTTTTTCTCTTCAGATTTCTCAATTTTGGTTGTTCTGTATATTGTCACATGGCATGGCCATTTGTTATTCTAGTCTTGAGGGTTGATCTCAGTCAGACTATATTCAGATCAGAAATTCTCAGTTCACATTTTCCATTATTTCATAATCTTCCCAAGCATAAAAAATTTTAACTTTTTACAAGTATACATGATAAAAATATTTGTCTAAAATAATATAGAAGTATTATTTAGGGAGTTGTGAAAACTTAAAAGGCCCTTCCTTGTTAAACATTTTATTAAGATTTATCCAGTTTAACTGTAAAGTCAGCCCATCTGCAAAACAGATACAAATTATTAAGTATTATATACTTACCTGACAAATGATTTGTAGTAGTTCATACTAGGGGAAGACATGAACAAACATTGTATGATCCCTGCTATGTCATTAACCTTCAGAACAAGTGATGTACGGAGATGGTGTTTTTGATTTAGTGAAAAAAAATAGAAAATTACAGAAAGAACATTCAAACTACCTTCAGCCTGCTTAGAGACAAGCATTAATATTTTTAATTCTTTAATAATTAATAATAATTAGTTAATTAATATTAATATTTTTACTTTTCAGTGCATGTACACAGTTTCTGCATATAAGTTATGTATAGTTCTAGAAAGTCTACTTATTTTTTTACTTTTTTCTTTGCTATATTTTAATATTAATTTATATTGCTTTTTAGTTTAAACCTTGAAAGACTAATGAAATTTCAATTTTATAATACATATGCACGTGGCATCTTAATCTGGCAGAATTAATTACCTACTTCTCTAATAATTATGACAATCTTAAATCATTAGCTGTGTGTTTAAAGCTTGTATAAATACTTTAATAATTTTTTTTTAAGTTTCTTAATACTTTTTTTGTTTGTGTTCCAAGGCCAAACTGTTTTCAGATAGTAGTTCAACACTTTAGTGAAGAACATTACATCTTTTACTTTGCAGGAGAAACTCCAGAACAAGCAGAGGTAAGATCACTGTTTCCTGAACTACTGAGATCTTTGTGCTAGCCTAACTTTATTAACTAGGGTAGAAAACTACTGTGGGACAATGTTAAGAAAGTGTGTCTGAAATCTTAATACTCTAACAAGTGAGAAACTGTCTAAGTTTTTGTTGTTCTTGTTGCTTTTTTCTTTTTAACAAAACACAGTGAAGGGTTTTTAGATATAAAAAGTGACATTTAAAATTCACCATTAAATACTCTGTGAATTCAGTTGAAACTAATCCTTTACAAATAATTATATTTCCATAAGTTCGAGGCATCCTCCATATATTTCAGAAGCAAGCCAGCTAGTTGTAATATTTCTGGAGGGTTTAAATATATTTTGTACAAATATGACTTTCTGAGGAGACTCTATGAAAAACAAACAGAATTAAGTGAATGATAGTGGCTTTGTTGACAATAGAACCTATCTTTCAGCCCTGAATATGAACTGCATGACTAGATCCCTGTGGACCCTAGATTGACCCTTAAGTATTAGAGTGAGAGAACTAATATTGTTTTGTTTCTTGTTTTGTTTTGCTGAGACAGAAAATTACAGTTTAGTATATTCTGAGATTCAAAATGGCAGTCTAGGGATGGAAATAATTAAATATAAAGAAAGTAAATTGATAATTGGATAAACTCATACATGTTTCTTTGCAATACTGTTTTTGTTTTTTTTTTTTTAGGATTGGATGAAAGGTTTGCAAGCATTTTGCAGTTTACGAAAAAGTAGCCCAGGGACATCTAATAAACGTCTTCGTCAGGTGAAACTTCCTCGTGTCTGACTTGCAACAGTCTTATTTTCATATATCACTTCGTTCTTTTTTTGCCTATACATTGCTACTTTTGCCAACATTTCTTAAGAGTAGAAAGGTTTATTCATCTTTGAGGTTTTCTACACCTTGCTGTCATTGTTTGACTTGGTAGCAGTTGCTCTATGAAAGAGACTTCTTTATGTACATGCTCTGCTTCCAGTCTGCTGAGCCAGCTCCTAACAGAACAAGTCAAAGCAAGGCACACTATTTTGTGCACCTTTTTTCCACTTGGAAAATTATCTCAGGTAGAATCAAAGAAAGGTACTTCTGAAGAGTTAATCATACTCACAGGAGTATCCTTAAAACTTGTTTTTTATGGTATAGTTGTTTTTGAGACTAGACAATTTTTAGGAACTAAAACGTGAACTTTGTGCATATTTTTGTTTATAGGAAGTCAAGTTTTGTTATCTAGATATGTACTGCATTATTACCTTTTCTTAATTGTATTTTTTTTTTCATTAGAGATAGGGGTTTTGTGTGTAGCCTAGGCTGGGGTCAGAATTGCAGTGATCCTCCTGCACCAGTGTCCTGAACACTAGGATTACAAGGATGAGCCACCCACCATAACTGACTTATCCCTTATTACTTGGCCTTCACATCTTTCTTTCGTTGTTTCATTAAAGTGGTTTCTAGATAACTGGAAATAGTCAAACTCTAATGTGGTTAGAATTTTGAAGAAAGTTAAGACAGTGCAAAGTGGCCCCTATTAATTTCCAGTAAGCTTGTTGAATTTAACAGCCTGTTTCATGGACGTATAAAACAGTTTTTACTAGGTAACTAAATACTCTGTAACAAAAACCCTGGCTTTTATCCCAAGGACACACACACACACACACACACACACACACACACACACACAATTATTTAATATATACAAGTTGTCACATATCTTTGTACACATATAATAACAGCCAATATCTCAATCCCCTTTGATAGCTAAGTTAATGTGCTGTAGGTTTAAGGATTGTTTCCAGTCCTTAACACAACACAGCATGCAGTCTTTTACATTTGACACATTTGCTGAAGGTGACAACTAATGGTAGAGAGAGTGTTAAATAGTAGGAGGTAGGTGAACTTCTCTGGCACCCATATAGGGAATACATTAGTTTCATGGAACACAATCCTTAAAATCAGTGTCTTAAAAACATCTTAGCCAGGGACTCTTTTAAGAGTAGTAAAATCTTCATGATAAACATGCTATGATATTTGGAGTATGGAAATGGGTGGTGACAGTTGATTAGCAAAGCTTATGTCTTTTGAAATACTAAGAAAAACAAGTCACTATTTTTCACGTTTATATATAGGTCTTAAAATGTTGGGTATGAATTTTTGTGTTCTCTTTAGGTCAGCAGCCTTGTTTTACATATTGAAGAAGCCCACAAGCTCCCAGTAAAACACTTTACTAATCCATATTGTAACATCTACCTGAATAGTGTCCAAGTAGCAAAAACTCATGCAAGGGAGGGGCAAAACCCAGTATGGTCAGAGGAGTTTGTCTTTGAGTAAGTCCTATTTTATCATATTAATCTGTCTTTAGAGCCCTATTTTCCTCATGCTGTTTAAGTTTCTGTTGTTTTCTAGGTGTTTTAAGAATATTTTTTTGTTGGATTTCTCATCTTCATTAATAAAGATGAACTACTGAAAAGTGATGACAAAATGTTTTCTATATTTTCTAGATCTTGTTTTAAGAGATTATTGTTTTAGGAAATTTTAAGATTACTGGAAAATGTATATTTATTAACATTCTTGTGTAACAAATAATGTAAATCTTGTTTTAAGTATTACACAATGAATTTTTGAACAAAAATAAGGTAGTTTGATACTAGAACATTGTTTTCTAATTTTTCTTCTTCTTTAGTGATCTTCCTCCTGACATCAATAGATTTGAAATCACGCTTAGTAATAAAACAAAGAAAAGCAAAGATCCAGATATCTGTAAGTTGATTTCAAGCTTTCTAAAGTAATGAAAGCATGTTGTATATATTTTTAGAATGTATAATTGAAATGTCTAAGATGCAGATGAAACACATGCTATGCAGTCTACTACTAGACATTGACTATCCCAAGACTATGAAGGATAGAACAAAATGGCTAAAGTGAATGTGCTGGATATAGTCCTTACAATTTCAGATATGCAAATATGTTTTCCCTTACCCAGAGAATAGGACAAGAAAATGGTAGTGGTCATCATTTTTTATCTTCTTTCCTTTTTTAGATTCCCTTATTTCCTACACTTGAAATCCAAAAGGTTCTGTTACAGACTAGAGTTGCAGCTTAGTGGTAGTTTCTCTAGCCTGCAGTGACCTGGAGATTAATCCCTAGTCCTGCAAAGAAATACGACACAGAATGTTGAGGTGTGCCATTTATTTGTTGTAACATCCAGTGCTCTGTTTGTACTCTGAGCAGGACACATCCTCCTTTTTTGTTGGTAGGACAGATTGCAGTGGAATTTAGTGATTCATATCAGGGTGAAATAGGTTAATGCCGTCTTACAACTTAGGCTGCTTTAGGGTAAACAGTGATATGTACTGACAGACATAGACCAAAACCTGAAGCTTTCTGAGTAAAATGTTTATTCCGTAATTGCTTATATTTGTAATTATTTCTCCATTACTTGTATGACAAAATTCTAGTAATGGCACAGAAAGAAAGCCATACTTTCTATTTTGATTCTGGTGTTTATTGCTCTACCCTTTTACCTAACCTAGCTAACTCAACTCATGGGTTCCTGTGGAATGGATTTTTAACTCCTCTAGGCTGTTACATATCCATGTGTTGAAAATATTATTTACTGTTGTACTTACATTGCACCCTCTTTGATAGCATAAGACATTTTCCACGCATGTCAGACACCGTGGTTTAACCATTTCTTAATCCCATATCCCTAGCCTATGACAGAATGTCACATAGCAGGCCTTTAAATGAAAAAAGTAAGCAGTTAAGTGTTGACTTTGTGATAGTATTGAAAACTTGCTTAATGAAAAGCATTTAAAACTACAGGAAAGTGATTGAGAAAATGTAATTGTATGACCACAGTGGTTTTTCTTTGTAGTATTTATGCGTTGCCAGTTGAGCAGATTACAGAAAGGACATGCCACAGATGAATGGTTTCTGCTCAGCTCCCATATACCACTAAAAGGTATTGAACCAGGATCCCTGCGTGTTCGGGCACGATACTCTATGGAAAAAATCATGCCAGAAGAAGAGTACAGTGAATTTAAAGAGGTATTATTTAGAAGTCTAATTATCAACAAATATAAATGTTAAACTATTTAATAAAAATCCATTAAGCTAAATAGTAATGTCCTAGATTAGTAACACGCTAGTAACCAGAGGTTAAAAAAAAACTTGTATGATCTTGATCTTACAAGGCTTGAAATATATAGGCTACGTACTCACTCCATTATCAATTGTATTCAGTAGTTATGTTCCTCCACTTAACCTTACATATATTTCCCATTGGTCTCCAAGGATACATAATGCTATGTACTTTGAGCATTTTTTTTTATGTCTTTTTTAGCTTATACTACAAAAGGAACTTCATGTAGTCTATGCTTTATCACATGTATGTGGACAAGACCGAACACTACTTGCCAGCATCCTACTGAAGATTTTTCTTCATGAAAAGCTTGAATCATTGTTGTTATGCACACTAAATGACAGAGAGATAAGTATGGAAGGTAATATGGATGTGTGATTTTTTTTTAAAAAAAAAACGTAAAAATACAATTTTATATATCAAATATGTGGGGTCTGTCTTTAAACATAATAAACTGTTAAATCATTTTACAAAGTAGCTGAGATTCTTTGTTTAATATGGGAATGGGTTGCTGTTTCTAATTCTGTCATGGAAAATTAAGTATTAGAAGCTGTAAGAAAATGATTTCTTTGTCCAGACTCAGTGTGTGAGTATCAACAGTAGCATACATAGTATTTATTATTACCTCAGGTTTTACTCGGACGTTCTGAGTAGAAGTCAGATGGCACCTGTATTTTATTTCTAGATTTTGTAGCAGTTCTGAGGCTAAAGGACATATCACTGTGCTTTTCACAGCTTTTAATGTATTCATTTTCTTCTCATTAATATTTATGTAAAAAGTATGTTACTGAAGAAAAATAATTTCCAATTTAGTTGTATTAGTACAGTTTTCTGAGTATCATCTAACATCCATATTTGTGTAGATGAAGCCACTACCCTATTTCGAGCTACAACACTTGCTAGTACCTTGATGGAGCAGTATATGAAAGCCACTGCCACACAATTTGTTCATCATGCTTTGAAAGACTCCATTTTAAAAATAATGGAAAGCAAGCAATCATGTGAGGTAAGAGTTTATTGTTTTAATCTTTGCTGCAAATGGCGTATTTTAATGAATTACAGCTTTGGGAAAGTACATTATTTCTAAATTTGTCAACACAGTTATGTTCTCTATAATAAATTTACAATCCCCTCCACACACACAAAACCTCATGACTGTACATGCACTCACAGCTTTGTTGGCATTTCTCCTAATTTCTACTAATGACCAAGTTTACCTTACTTTAAGAAAATGTGTGTAACATAAATTGAACATTCTTCCAGGGACTTTGGTTATTCATATTGAGTATCATATTCCAAAAAAAATGTATTTTAAGATTTTGGAACTATTTCATAAACTACAACTTTGAGAATGGAACTTAAGTCTACACATAAAATTTATTTATGACTGAAGTTAATTTTACCCGAGTTCTAAGAGGCTTGTGTTAGCTTTGGGCCCATCATGTGAAGTCAGACATGGAGTTTCCCATTTGTAGTGCTATGTTGGCATGCAAAGTCAGACTCAAGGAAAAACTTGTAAGTGTAACATCTTTTCCTTAGAGGTCTCTATGAGTTATTTTAAAGATGATTAAGGTTTTAGTGCAAGTTTATAAGCAGAATCCTGCTTATATAACTATTCTACTTGATGGGCGCTACTGAGCAATTATAAAGGAAGACTGTATCAAGCAAGCCTTGAGAGGGTGTCAGTAAAATAAGGAAGTACTTGGTAACACTTGGACCTGTCAGATGTTAATTCTGCCATAACAAAATGAGTGTTTTATTGTTAGAAGCTGAGGATAATCCAGTAATTACTATGAGAGTTGACAAGTATTTCAGATTTTTAGGTACATCTGGCATATCAGAACACAGAAATTGGGGGTGGGGGTTGTACTTGAAAAGTTTTAAGTGTTCATGATTCTATTTACACATTTTGGTTATCTTAGCCCCTACTTTGAACCTCATTAAAAAGTTTTTTCCTCAGACAAATAGAAAGGAGTGGCTTACTATTTGGTTGAGTGACTGAGAATGAATGGAATTTGCGTATGTGGAAGAGCTGACATCTTTGAAACAATAACTGCTCATTGGCCACTACTCACCTGAGCCTACCGTCACCAAAATGAATTTGTTGGCTTGTTCCTTCTCTTAGTTAAGTCCATCAAAGTTAGAGAAGAATGAAGATGTGAACACTAATTTAGCACACTTATTGAACATACTTTCAGAGCTTGTGGAGAAAATATTCATGGCTTCAGAAATACTCCCACCGTAAGTTGTCAGATCGTTTGCCAAAAATTAATGCATCTGTGTTTTCTAAGTTTTCTTTTAAAGAATGCTTTCTATTGGTGTTACTGGTATTGGTATTAGAGATTTTTAATCCTTAAATGGATTATGAACTGGATGTGGCCGTACACGTCTTAATACCCCAGCACTTGAGAGGCAGAGGCAGGCAGATCTGAGTTTGAGGCCAGTCTGGTCTACACAGTGAGTTCCGGGACAGCCAGGGCTGTTACACAGAGAAACTTCTATCTCCCCTCAAAAAAGATGGATTACGTTTAAGGAAAAGGAATAGATGAGTGAAATAATGGTTTAAAAAAGCCAGAGTAAAATATAAACTTTGTGGTGCCTGCCTGTATTTTCAGTATTGAAGTGGATGAGCCAAGATGATGATGAATTTCAGCCACATAGCAAGATCCTGTCTCACAAAAGAGGAAAATAGAAACAAATAAACTGTATGTCCATATGGACTGAGTAAACCTGGCTTATATTGTACCTTAGATAATGAATAACATGTCTCAGATCTGAGGACAATATTTGTAAATCTAGTTTTAGTTCTTGTCTAGCACTAGATTCCCAGGAAAGAAAAACCAAAGTCAGGTATTTACACAAGATACCAGTATCATGTCTGCTTACAAGTCAGTGTGAGTAGACTCACTTGTTTATATGGAAGATGTGAAATAGTAGAATATGTGCCACATTAATTCCTCTATATTCTCATGCTTAATAATTTGTTTCATAGTTTTTACTAATAGAACTTAAAATCAATGGAGCCAAACATACTGCATTATATTTCTACACTCGTTACTAAATATGCTTCTTTTACTTTTGACAAAATACCTTTTTTAGATGAGAAGGTCAAATGAATTAAAATATGGTGTACTGGTTGGGTAAATTAAAATTTTGGCTGCCAGTAAATCACCATTATGATGATGATACTAACTTTCTGTATTGAGATGTTTTTGTTATTTTGGCAGGACACTGAGATATATCTATGGGTGTCTGCAGAAATCTGTTCAGCGTAAGTGGCCTACAAATAACACCATGAGAACAAGAGTTGTTAGGTAAGAGTCACTTGTCATCTGTCATAGTCACTGTATGCAGTACACACTGATTTGTGTGTGTAGGCAGACAGAGGAAATTGGTTTCTGGAGAAGTGCAGTACTTGAACCATCTAGATTTTAATTGATTTGAACATCTGTGATTCCAAGCTAATTTCCAACTATACATTCTAGCTCTCATTTAGTCTGTCATACATCAAGAACTGCTTTAGCAGCTAATTTGAGAGCTCATATATAGAGTTAAATTGTTTGCTTAAGTTACAAACGTGGTTAAAAGCCAAGCAGAACTAATGCAAAATTCCTATGACTACCTAATATGTTAATATTGTTCAAAGATGTTGTTAAGCATACCTCAGCCAGTACAAAGTGGTGAGAAATTTAGTAGAAATGCATCAAATACAGTTTTCTAGTAATTATAGGTAATGTACATTGCCAGTCACCCTACATGTAAAATATGAATTTTAAGGACACATTTCTGATACAAATTTTGTCAAGAGGCTTCTACTTTTCTTGCAGGCAGAATTTCTATTAGTGGCCTAAGGGCATAGTTCTGAGATAAGGCACTATTTTAACACTCAGAGCTCCTGGATTTGATTCCTACCTCTGAATAAAACAGGCCAGCCAAAACCCCTCCTAGTTAGCTTCACTAAGACACATGCAAAAATTGTAGGAAGAAAAATTGCAATCATACTGTTTGAGCAGTTGTATGTGGTGGACATGAAGCTGTTATGTATAATACATGTTTTAAATGTGTAACTGTTACAGTAGTACAGCAGAGAATCCTTTAATTGAATTTAATGTGGCAGGGTGCTTTAGGGGTTTTTCATGCCTAACGTGATTTCTCTTCCTGGTAATAAGCTTTTAAATTATGTCGTACCAATGTATTATTTAATTTAAAATTACCTTAAAAATTCAAAAATACATTTTCACTGAAATTTACTAATGGACCAGTGTTGTCAATTTAGGTTTCTAGTTAGGTATCAAAATATTTTCAGTAAACCTTATATAGGAACCTTCTTTAAGAATAAATATTAAATTGTAAAGTTATTTATTAATTGCTGTAAGGAATTTTATAAACTCTGGGGATTAATGCTTGGTAAGGTTAATTATTACCGAAGATTCTTTTTTAAAAGAAGTAAAAATTAATACAACATACACTTAATACTACTGATGGAAGGAGGCAGAGTAGGGTATCTATAAGCTTGCATTAAGTATAGAATTTTCAAATGTTTATTGTATGCATTTTGTAAAGGAGTCTTTGAAAATTACAGCATATTCCAATGTTTATATAAGTCGGCAGCAATATTGATACAACCATCTTAATTCACACTTTTCTATTTAAATAAACTTTAAAAAGACAAGCAAGAAAGTGGGTAATTTGGAACCTTCTCTATCTATAAAACATTTATTTGAATCCTCATAATCTTTCAGCAGTTCTCAGTGTTTTAATACAGTACTTTCCAGGAAAAAACAAATTACTAATCTGCAATAAACAAGTATTCCAAAGTTAATCTGAAATTATGTTTGCCTTACAGTTTTTTTAATGACTGTGTTTAGGCTTTCCCATGTTGAAAGTAAAGATTGTGGTTCTAAGTTTAAATTTTTTATGTTTATACTGTAAACATACAGTTTTCTAAAAGATTTTTCCCTCCCAATTAGTGGTTTTGTTTTTCTTCGACTTATCTGCCCTGCTATCCTGAGTCCACGGATGTTTAATATCATTTCAGGTAAATACCTTTTAATAAACTTTGAAATTGGGAAAAGCTTCATTACTTCCATAACATTTGAAAAAAAATATTGTACTTTAAATCAGATTTTAAAACATCTAAGACACAAATAAAGCTCACTAATGCACTATCCCCTGCCTTCTTTATTCTTTTAGTATCCAACATGTTGGATTTTTTTCTGTTTCTGTGACTTTAGTTTGCACTATTTTTACTTTAAGCATACAAGTGTATATGTACAGGCGTCACAGGTCAACTTCTGGGAGTTGATTGTCTCTTTTCACTCTTTGAGTGCCTGGCATTGAAATTAGGTCATCAGGCTTGGTGGCACTGAGATACGTTACTGGCCCACTGGTTCTCACACTTACAGCGTTTACAGGTTAGGAGTCCTCTTTTGTCCTTAGTCTACATCAGGTTGCTGTAAGCTGAACTTCTTTTTTTTTAAGATGCAAACATCTAACAAAGAAGATAGACCAGATTTCCCAGTTATATAATATTAATTGGCCATTCTGACAGTCAGAATATAAGATGTGAAGTTATTA